TCGTCTATCCAACCACTCCCAATTTACCATTGATCTCTCGTCTATTTACGGGTCATGCCCCTCCAGAAATCTATAAATAGTCCCCTCCTTTCTCTTGAAAATGGGAGGCTCCAAGCAAGAGAGCAAGAGAGAGATCGGAAATCGCTATTGCCTCCTCACTCCTCCTCAACCACCGCTGGACCACAGCCGGACCACCTCCTGACATCGTTGCTCCGCCAGACTGCCACTTGAGGCCCTCACCTCTGCTGGGCCACCACCTGAGGTTCGGACTTCCATCGGACCACCACATGAGGCTTGGACTTCCGCCGGACCACCAGCAGAGGCCTTGTGATCCACCAGGCCACTGCCTGACGCCCAAACTTATGTCAGACCACCATCTGACGTCCGGACTTCCGTTAGACCACCACTTGAGGCCATGTGCTCCACCAGGCCACCATTTGAGGCCCGGACCACCACTTGATGCTCGGACTTCTTCCAGGCCACCACTTGACGCCCGAACTTCTACTAGACCACCACATAACGTCTAGACTTTTGCCAGACCACCACTTCAACTCCTCTACTCCACCAGGCCACCACCTAACTCCCGGACTTCTGTCGAACCACCACCTGATGCCCGGACTTCCGCCGGACCATCACTTGAGGCCTTGTGCTCCACCAAGCCACCACCTGACACTCAAACTTCTACCAGACCACCACTTAAGGCCCTGAGCTCCACCAGGCCACCACCTAATGTTCGGACTTCTGCCGTACCATCACTTGAGGTTCTGTGCTCCACTAGGCCACCACCTAAAGCCTGGACGCCCGGATTTCTACCGGACCACCACATGACACCCAGAGTTCTCCCAGAGTATCGTCCTTCTACTACGGTGTTTCAGACCCTTGTCTCATGCCAACTATGGCCCTTCCAACCAAACAAACATGTCTATGTTGATTATTATAACTCCCAACATGTAATGCGCTTTATATGACGTACATTTGTGACATCAAGCCAAGGCCTTCTACCAAGGAATGACCTTATTTGTAATCGACTGTAAATACTAGTGGATTCATTCAAATTGGATCAGGCCCCGTGGTTTTTCCCTTTTAGTGGTTTCTACGTAAAAACTCTGATCTCCTATAAACACTACACCCTCTATCTAATCTGCTTGTATGCTAGATCTTCATATAATACTAAGATGTTAAACTATATATTTCTCTACCGCCGCGAATACTACGGAACAAGCTTTACAATCAACTTTACAAATCTTTTCAAAGAAACCCTAAACCTTCTCCAAATATTCTATTTTAATGACCAGTAAATTGTGTAATAATATATTTTTTTATTAAATTTTGAATTAAATCTAAAGACTTGTTATAAATGTTTTTGGTTATTCAATCAAATTAATTTAAAAATAAATGTAATATAAATTTATTTCTGATTTCTAAGTCTCAGGTCTAGTTAGAGCTAGAAGCGGAAGTTTCGTGTTCGGTTGGAGACAGCCTTAGTTCATTTTCAATGGTATTTCAAGAAAGTAAAACCATAATCAAGAAATAAAAAATAAACACCAGTAATTATTGGTACTTAAAACAACTTCACCGTAAATTCGCTTTAATTTAAAATCGTCAAAAAAACTTTTAAGAGTAGAATCAAGCCACAGTTGCAGAAAAAATTATCAGTTGAAATTTTTAGAAAACCTTTGTTGTGGAATTCAAGATTCTAAGGCTTACATATTCCAAAATGGCAGAAGCTTGTTTGCTTTCCCAAATACTCAAAATGTTTGGAGAGAGAGAGAGAGAGAAAGAGAGAGAGAGAGAGGGAAATCAAAGAATCAAGAAAAGGACTGAACTCCGCATGATTACCGGCGGGATCGGTCCGAAAAATAGGTAAGAAGGGGGTGATAGTAGCCAAGATTTGCAAAGACGCAGTCCCTGAGACCATCTCCAACCGAAAATGTCATTTTCACTCCAAAATGCAGAGAAATAAAAAAATGTCGTGTTTCATCTCCAATCCAACGCCATTTTGCCGCTAAAATAGTCCTTTTTCTTTCGCGCATTTCTTCCCAACCTGTTCGGTAGAGAGAAAAAAATGGCGCAGATGAACAGTTCAACGCCAATATTGGCGTCGCACTGTTCATTCGCGATCAAATGGCGATGGGTTGGAGCAAAGCAAGAACGACAAACAAGTGTTTGCCGTTTGGTTGGAAATTGTCGGCTAAGTACGAGCAGTATTCCCAGTAAAGGATGCGGTAGTCAAAAAAGTCGTGCACGCACACGAACCAATCCATGAACTGCTGCCTGCATTCGCCTCCGCACATATAATATTTGAAATTTTCACCGTGGAACAACTTTGTCATCTCCACGTTCCAATCTTTCGCGGAGATGACAAAGGTCGGCGGTCCATTGTAGTAGGGTTCGGCGGAGGATGAGGGATTGGACTGTAGCGAGCTTGCTGTGGATTGGGGGGTTTTCAGAAGGAGAGATTCCGCCGGAAGGGGGATGCAGCAGCGGAGGATTTTGGGGGGATTGTGGGTTTCCAGAGAGAGGAAATCCGACGGATGAGGACGCGGGATCCATAGCTAGGTTTAAGGCTTCCAAATTTGGATGAATGGCTGACAAAGAGAAAAGGTTCGGAGATTACGTTCCCTGTGCCGATGCCGGGTTTTTATACTGTATAGTGTATATCAGGGGCGGAACCAGCCTTTTATTTCAGGGTGGGCAGATTTTGCTTATGAATATATTATATATTAATATTTATATAAAAAAAAGAATATAATTCAAAGCAAAATAATTATGATTGATAAATTAAAAATTATTACAAGCTTAATAATCTATTTTGCATATTCTGATAATGTTGCATTATAACTTCATTAGGAATTAAATCAAATACATCATTTTCAATATAAGGCACCAGACAGTCGTTGAGCCAATCATCACCCATCCTACTACGTAGTCGATGTTTTACAATCTTCATTGCATAAATGCTCTTTCCACTGTAGCGGTAGCAACTGGTAAAGTCAATGCTAAAATAATGAGTCTATAAACCAGCGGATACACATCATCCTTCTTGAACTTAACAATTTGCTTTGAAAGATCGGCAATACTGTTTAGAGAGGAGAACTCAGCACTGGTACGCATATCAATAATATAAGTTGATAATTGACTTTTAAGAGCCACAAGATCAAATGTAGAAAAATCATTTGGATATAACTCAGCTAAACGTATCAATTTCCTCTCATCATAAGCTTGGAAGGTATCAGTTGGATTTAAGCATGCCACACAAAGAAGCAATTCAGTGCTAGATTCAGAAAAGCGATTATTTATCTCTTGAAGTTGCATGTCAACTACAGTATAGAATAGCTCAACACGATAATGATGTAAGTTTGTTATTTCTTCACCTCTTCGTACTGTTCTACGATGTGTTTTGTATGTTTCATTCATCTTCAAAACAGTAACTTCAAAAACACTACAAAAATGAGAAACTTCATCTAATAGAACAGTCCATCCACTCTCCCTTAGTACATGTAGTCGATGTTTAGATATTTGCACCAATTTCATTGCATTTTCAATGTCCTGATATTTTCTTTGTAGTGATTGTGATAACTCATTCATAATTCCCAAGATATCAATCATCAAATGCATTGTGAAAATGAAATCAAATGACTCCATTACATCAATCAAAGTGCCTGCTTCAACTGATTGTTGATCATTTACCCCTTCTTTTTTAATGATCTCGAGCACCTCGATTACTGAAGCATACATTTTCATAAGACTAATTAAAGTATGAAATTGTGAACTCCATCGTGTATCACTGGACCTTTGTAAATTAGTCTATTGATTTAAACATCTGCCGCTTATTAGATTGCCAGCTTTTAGATGTGAAAGAATTTTTTCATGCTGAATTGCTTTCATAGTATCTGATCTCTTACAAGAAGCTCCAACAGTATTTATAATTCTTAAAGCAAACTCAAAAAGATGTTTCACTTGCCAATGATTCTTCGTTGATACATTACGCGTCTGTTTTGATTAAAAAAAATATTTATTTAAGTATTTATAGTTTTGAAAAATATTTAATTATCTTTGGAAAGATTAAATTTTAAATTCTAATTTTGTAATGGAACTCAGGATTAGAAATGATATATCATCTCAAAAAGGCGAAGATATCATTCACTAATTGGTTCATATTACAAAACTTTAACGTTGTCCTTATTATCGTAGTCAAATCCAAGAGGAATCGTATTTAACCTCGAAAAATCAAAATAAGATTTAATCTAGTATTTGGCTAAGCTAATATGGATTGAAGATCATTAATTTCATAATTAGAATTACAATAATAACTGATAAATCTCTCCGAAGAAAGAAAATATCAATCATTATCGACCGTCTAAAAATGACGATAATGATCATTCAATTTTCCCAAAAAATAATTAATTAGAGATTTTGAAATATTTTTGATTTTTGAAAATTAAATCTGGGTTACTAAATCTCCTACGAGCGCAAGCCCTCGTAGTTAATTACATCGTAGAAAATCGGAATTTCCTATGAAAACTCTCGATTAAAATAGCGGTGTAAATTTTATTTAAGATTTTCAATGATTGATGTCAAAGGAAGAAAATGGTAGGAATTTCAAATGAGATTGGTTCAAAATTAAAGATTTATTTTCGGGGTCAAAGGAAGAGGAGTATGGAGTGTTTTTAAGATTCTGAATTATTTCAGAAAACACTCCAACTAGTTCTAAGCGTTAGGCTCGTATTTGATTGAAAGCGATATTTAGTTTAAGTGATCAATTTTATTAGAAATTTGGGATTCGATTCCCGAAAATTGAGGTCTTATGGCCCGAGCCAGCCTCAGAACCTAAGTCTAAACTGGGCACTAACAATTAGCACCCCGAACCTAGCTAGTGCAATGCGAATCTGGTCTTACCCCGGCCTGGATTGGGGAGCCAGCTAAACCACCTAAACGATTTTAAAATATGAGTCCGATCTTTTTATAGAGTGATAGGGACGTTAATTAGAAAAGTATAAAGGAACGGGGTCGACATCTAGAGCAGATCCTTAATTGACCCCTTAGACTTATGTTGGGTATTTGATGTCTAAGTAATGCAATTAAATATTAGACTCTTTTAAATTTGTTACTAATGCGATGCATGCCAATTGACTCGATTGAATGCAAAATTTGTATGTAGCAGTTTAAAAAAACTTTGGCTTAGAAAATAGATTTTTCCCTAGAGATTGCATAACATCCCCTTGACAGATCGGCACCCTCATAGGCCAGGTGGTCTGCCAGAACCCGCAGGCGGGGATATGCCTAAAAGGGTTGAGAAAGTATAATATGAATGCATGAAAAACCCTCGGCGAGTCCGAGCTTACTTCTTAAGACCGTTTAGAATTTCTATCTTATCTTAAAATTTTTATTTAATTAAAGTAGAAGAATTTTTGAAAGACCCCTAAGAGCCTAAATTCGAATTCCAGACTAAATCAAACGCGGCATGCAAATAAAAAGACTAGAAAAACAGGAGTTCTAATGCGAAATCAATTAAATAAATCAATTAAATATATCAAATTGAATGTCCATGTTGCAAGTGCCACTCATTATTACATCTCAAAAATTACAAGAAATTAAAGTGGTCGGGCACCACTGACTACAACCCGGATTTCTAATCCTAAATCAAATGATTTTGAGACTTGGGATTCTTCTCGTTGTCCAATCCTTCATCTTCTCACGAACATCTTGATTCGTCGGTTCAAGATATCCAAATGAAAAGAAACTCCCCTTGAATGGGGTGTTATCTTTCCCCCTCCTCCCCTTTTTTTTGGATATTTTGCAAGTATCACTAATTTGAATTCTAAATGGAAGAGACTCTACCAATTTGGGTGTCTTTCACCTCTTTGGAAGTTCAAATTGGGATTTTATATCCCAATCTCAAAGATTTCATTATTAAATAAATACAATCTTAACTGAATTAAAATTGTACATATGAGAGAAATAAGAAAATCTAACTCGATCCTGCAAGGTTTATCCTAATAATCGAAACAGTTGTATAATTTCAATCCCAAGCAGTATAGATATGAAAATTGAAATGCATTTTTTTTAGGCCAACTTGGGTCCATGCCCTTTTTATTTAACAGGGGTCCTTAAGCGCGGCAGGTACCTGTCAAAGAGTCATGTATATAGTTTAAATTATTAACTGCCCCTTAATTTTCTCCTTGTATGAGCAAATGGCCACCTGCCATACGATTGCACAAGTTAATTCCGTCCTAACCTAGGGGTAAATCTAAGCTACAATCAATCACAGAATGCATGAAGTAATAATAAACTCATCAATGTCTCTCTAGCAAACAGCATGCAGTAACTTCGAAAACTTCGGCACACAACTGCATAAAAAGTAAAAACACCGGCCTATCCTAGAAACCTAGAAGTGGTGATCCTAGCAAAACCATCTTAAAGTGTGTGAGGTAGGTCCTGTGGTTTGAATGTATTCCTATTAGGATATTAGTTTAAAGTTATCTAAGGTTCGATTTGTTATGGAAGTTTAAGGAATTTAAGTTTGAATTAAATATTAAATGGATTGAGGTTAATTTAAGACTGTACTTAATTATTTGTTGGAAACCACCTTTGTTTCACACCGAGGCCGTGAAGTTTATTTCACCTTCCTTGGGGCTAAGTTAATAGCCTCGTAGGCCTGGGTTACTCAGTGGTATCCGGTATAATTAAATATTTTAGGTTGATTAAGGCTTAAGAATTAATGAATTTATTAGAAATGTTTGGTTGCTGATTTTCAAAATTGATTAATTTAAGTTTGTCATTAATCGATTCATGGCGTTGTGCCACCAGGCTCGAGGAACCAGCCTACTTAGGACACTTAGCCCTGCAGCCCGGAGTAGTCCAGCCGATAAACCAAATTAATGTAATTAAATTAGAAGTTTTAAAAGGTTAGATAATAAATAATTAATCTATTTTTAAGGTTTAACACCCCTTGGAATCCATTCGTGACGTTGTGCCACCAGGCTCGAGGAACCAGCCTCCTTAGGACACTTAGCCCCGCAGCCCGGAGTAGTCCAGCCAATAAACTTCATCTTTAGGATGGTTGTTGTGTTTTAAAAGGTTTGTTGAATGTTTTAAACATTAAGTTAACATTTTCTGGAGTTTTAGGATGATTTTGAGTTTTATGAATTTTTTGAATATTTTAATCATTTAATTAAAGGGTCAAAAATTGACTTTTTGATTAAAAGTGTTTTCTGGAAAGTTAACATTTTATTAAAATACTAGAGCTTACTACGATCAGTTAGACAGTAAGTACGTTGAAATCGGATTTTTTTATATTTTATTACGAATGTTTGAAGTTTTGAACTAGTTTTTAACTATGGTTTGACCAATTTGTTGACGTTTAGAAATATTACAGATTTCTGGAATTTAATATTTTTAATAAATATTAGAGCTTATTAGGAATTGAATGCAAGTGAGTTTGGGTGATTTAAATTTTTCTAGAATTAATTATGAAGGTTTGAAGTTTGGGTAATTATTGAATTTTTTGAAATTACTTAATTAGAGGGCTTTTTTTGTGATTTTACTCCAAATAAGATCCCCACTCCTTGAAATCAGCTCCAAAGGTCAGGAATGACCTAAGGAGAGATTCCCAAGTGTTTGGACAAATTTTGGAATTTTAATAATTATTAATTAATTATATTAATTAAATATTTAATTTCACTTAAAATTCAATTAAGGTTTAATTTGCTGTCAATTCAATTGGATTTTAATTTTCATTGGTTAAGGGTTTAATTATGGTCAGTTAGAGGGGTTAAACATAATTTTTAGATTTAAAATGGATTTATTACATTTTCTGGAAGAATTAAAGCTTAATTAAGGGTTAGACTTAGGAAAATCGATTAACGGACTTAATGATTCCTAAAATCAGTGAAACTTTTTCCTAGGGCTGAGAATGTTACTACGTTAAAGTGTTCAAAGTTTTGAGTCAATAGGAGGTGAATCCTAATTATTGGAAATATTCTAAGTTCTCTAAACACAAGTCCTTAATTATTGTCCTTAGTGACACTAAGTTTAATAGGTTTGAATTGAAGTTTTGACTAACCCTTGACCAAATACATGTTACACATACATAAGCACAATCAATTCCTAAATCTAAGAGAGCCTTACACTATGTGGTGTGTGCACAACCTAAGCATGCAAAAATTGACGATAATTAAGGTAACAAAGTTTTGATTAGTGAATGATTATAAAATAATCACTCACTAATCATTCCCCAAACACTTCTATTCAATCAAGCCTAATCTATATTTAAAATTTCAAAGGGATCTCTCAAGTGTTCTCAAAGTTTAACACATATAGTTTTAAAATTAATTTTAATATCTAGAAAATAGATTAGTTTTAGAAATTCTAGAAATTTTAAAGTAATTTAAAATAGTTTTTGATTAAAAAAATAGTTTTAAAACATATTTGAAAATATTTTAATAATATAAAATGATTTAAAATAAGGATTCTTTGAATTTTTGAAAAATTATTAGAATTAAATATTACCTAAATATTCAAATTTTATGTAATTAAAATTACTTGAAATACATAAAATATATCAAATTACTCTTAATTGAGGTTAAAATATATATATATATATTAAATATGATTTTGAATTTTCTAAAATATTTTAATTGAATTTTAGATAATTATTAATTCAAAGAAGAAATATTTAATACTTCAAATATTTTAAAAAAATATATAATATTTTAAATCAAATTTAACTTTAAATTAAAGATCTTAATTTTCTGAAAAATTTGATATATTATATTAAATTTTTGGATTTATATTTAATTTTATATAATTTTTTAAAGTTTTCTGGATTTTAAAACAAAAATTTTAAACAAATGGCCAGCGCCGGCGAGACGTGGCATCACCCGGTTGGCAGGATCAAATCGCAGCGGCGGGCCGCACACGTGGCCGGCTCGGATTGGAGGAATCCAAGACGGGCCAATCATTTAGTGGCGACGCA